CTCCGGAGGGTGCAGCTCCTGCTGCAGCTGCCTTGGGGTCCTCCGGCTCTGCTTCCCCCCAAAATCCCAGCAGTGTCCCTCCATAGCCCTGTCACAGGGCGACTGGGGGGCCCAGGGTGTGCAGTTCTGCCCCAATGAGGGGACCTCAGGGTGGGCAAGGGGCACATCCATTCCCATGGCTCCTCCTGGGGCAGATGCTCTCCCCCCCCACACGGGACTTCCTCCCATTCACTGAACCGATGTGGCCATCGCAGCAGCCCAAGCATCGCTGCATGACCCAAGAGCCCTTCTCAGGTCTCCCACCTCTGCCTCAGCAGCCCCTGGCCATCCCCAGAGGCACAAACCCACCTGGGATGGGGATGTGGGTGTCCCAGAGCCACTCACATTTCACCCATCCATCCCTCAGCAGCCAAAACCCATGGAGGTACTGAGGGCACCTCCTGCCTGCACCACCTTGCCCAAAAAGTGCCATTGAAAAGCTGGAGGTGGCCAGCAGTGGCTGTCCCTGTCCTCGTCCCCACGTCGGTGGTAACTTTGCCAACAGCTTTCACCACGTCCCAGCACAATCCCTGTCTCACACAGCTTCTCCATCACCCTCCCTGGGTGCAGCTGCCAGCGTTGTGGTGAGGACTTTTCCTCCTGCCATCTGCTCCCCTCGCAATGCTGGGATTCAGGAGGAGACAGCCAGGTCTGACGGAGTAAATCACGTTTTTAACCCAGCCTCTTGTGGCTCCATCCAGGCTTCGCCCCATCAATCAGCACAGGCACCTTTATCCTCCAGAGCTCGTTATAGCGAGCAGAGAGGAGATGCGGGTGATGCTGCCTAATGAACAAACACCTTAATTACTGGGAGTTTTACCTCCTGACAGCGCAGACAGATGCCTGGACGGAGCTGGCATGCTAACCACCCAGCCAGGAAAGCGATGGCAGCCAGTGCAGGGCTGCGAGCAGGGCTGTGCCTTAAGCATCATTCTCAGGCACAGGAAGGGGCCCAGTCCGTTTGTTCCCCCTCCGGCCACCACCTGAGCCCTCGCCAAGGCCGTCCTGCCCCACAGCAGGGAACCCTGAGGAGGGCGATGGGCACCTTCACCCATGGGGGCTCCGACCTCCCCCAGCCAAGAGAAGAACAGGCTCGGGGCAGCGCAGGGCTGGGGGTGTTATTTTATTCTTTGCTTTGGTCTATACAAAAACAACTTACAGAAATAATAAAATCTCCCATTCCTGACCCACACTCCAGTAGCGGTCCATCCCTTTCTGGTGGAAGCATTAAACCACCACCAGACCTAGAGCCTCTTTAAAAATTGTGTTAGATAAGGGAGGAGGGGACGGAAACACACCACTCACCAAAAGGAAGGAAAAGGGGTTAAAATGTGCAACAGAGATCAGTACAAGGACACGGTTCCTAATGCTGGAGTCACTCCTCTATGGGTAGGACAGGCAGGTACACAGAGTCAGCTCCCCAACAGCTGACGGGGAAGAATTAAACCGCAGACATCCCAATGGCTAAAACGAAGGGCCTGGGCCTCGGCACCCTTTGCTTTCGGCAGACTCAGATTGGCCTGATTAACTTAGAGCTCGCGGAAAGCAAAGGGTTTCCCATGTTAGACTCCTTTCCTAGAACGCTGACACGCAGAACAAAGAGTGGGGGAGTCAGAAAGCACAAACTTAAAGACGGCAAAAGCCGTTGGCACCATATTAAAAATAAAAAAGAAATACATATTCATAGAAAAGACTATTTTGCCAATGAAAGGTCGCTAATGGTGCAGGGTTTGTGTGTTTTAAAGCTTCAGAAACAGTATCTTGGATGCTGGATGCGGCAGTAGGTTCTCGAAGCAGTCCCAGGAGGAAGGACCTTCTCCACAGACCCACAGTGAAGAAAAGAAAACGAAAATAAAACCTCTCGTGGGAATGGAAAAGTTTATATCTTCTCAGGCACTTCTGTCTCCCAAGTCCTTCTTGCGAATGCTCAGCTCTGGGGCCACCCTCCTCTGTACGAGAAAACACCTGCATGGGGCAGGAGAGCACCCGTTACGTGATGGACGGGGGTTTGGGGGAGACCACAGCCCAGGGCCCCCCTAGTCCCCAGGGCGACGGGGATGGTGACCCATGGCAGCACCAGGGACCCCATGGCAGCAATAGGGAGCCCACAGCAGCACCAGGACCTTGCAGCCAGCCCTTCCTCCCCTCAACCCACCCGCTCCAGGACCAATTGTACCCCTGATGAGTGCCCATGTCCTGGGTACCGGGTCCTGGTCAGCACCTACCTGGTGCGGGGGCTGCAGGGGGTTAGGCCAGCATGTGGTCAGCGAAGGGTGCCCGGACGCCGTCACTGTAGGCGTCCATGGGGTAGTCACCGTCCATGTCCATGTGCATGTCGATGGGGTCCAGGGGGATGTCACCCGAGTACATGGGGCGGTAGCCAGGGTCCAGCTCTGCAGAAAAGGGATGCGGCAACCTCAGCTCCCACCGAGCAGAGGCATCTCCAGACCTCAGCCACCCTCCCGGTCTCCCCACCCAGGGCAGCGCGTGGCACACAGCACTGCAAGGGACACAAGGGCCACCCGCCACCCCCTGCCTGTTGTGGCACACAGGGCAATGGCTGCACGCACCCCCGGGGGAGCTGAGCACCCTATGCAGCCTAGGTGGGTGCTTTGCTGGCAGCCACACAAAGGATTTAAACCCAGCTTGGCTTTGGTGAGACCAGGCCTCTGCCCCACAGAGCACAGCCCCCGCAGGAAAAGCCATGCCCATACTCACCATCTGAGTAGGGCTCGTTGATGGGGATCATGCTCTGAGCCTAGGGAAGAAGATGACACCACTGAGAAAGGGACACAGGTTTGTATGTGCACGATGCTCAGAGGCCATGTGATGAGACCGCAACCCAGGGCTGCCCAAGAGCTGAGACCACAGCCCGGCCACCCCCCCCCTCCCCGCATTTGCCATTTGCTCCTGGTCGGAGGCAATGGGGACAGCTTTTGTAGGAAGGACAGGGCCATTCAAGAGGCCCCGGTGTCCCCAGGGAAAAGGTCCTGGTGTCCCTTGGGAAAAGGGCTCGGTGTCCCTGGGAAAAGGGCTCATCTCGGCACCCCGCAGGATGCTCACCGCCTCCCAGGCTGCTGGGTCATGCTTGAAGAGTGAGTTGGTGAGCTCCACAGAGACACGCTTCCTGTAGTCAGGGTTCTTGTCCTCCGAGATCCGGAAGAGCACGGCGGCCGCGTAG